ACCATAAAAGTCTGTTACCCTTTTTCATGTCTTCTCTGTTACACTAGAAGAGCTTTAAGGATCAGGGCTGTATCTTTTTTTTTTTTTGAGAATTATTATCTTTAATTTTATTTTTTAAATTTGACCAGAGAGGGACAGAGTTAGAGAGAGAGAGAGAGAGAGAGAGAGAGAGAGAGAGAGAGAGAGAGAGAGAGAGAGAGAGAGAGAGAGAGAGAGAGAGAGAAAGCAAGTAGCCAGGTCCAGGACTCGAACCATGGTCAACCATGTGGGATTCCAGTGCCCTTTACCACCATGCCACCTGCCTGCCCCAGGGCTGTATCTTATTTGCTCTTTTCTCCCCAGGACTTAGCATAGAACCTGGGACATGTTATGTGAGTAATGTTGAATAAATAGAAATTTTCTCATAAATTTTCCTTTGACCTCCCAGTTGGCCGTGGGAAAACTGATCTGCGAGCCCAGAACACTAATGACTTCTCTTCTCCTGAAAGTTTCTTATCACTAAGTCAATCCATGTTATTATCCCTCATGACTAGTCTCATGCTTATTATGTATTGTGATTAATTAAGTACACAGGAAGTATTTAATAAATGCTTATTAAATGCAGACTTGGTCCCTATAACGTTTGTTTCCTGTTCACAGTGATCATTTCTCATTTCTTCCCCAAGGGATATTTGTGTGTGTTTGAATGTTTGGGGAAACTAGTTCAAGAAGAGTACACTCTCTGAACTGTGGGAGACAAAAGAAATCTTTCAAAATTTGGGCTTTGGTTTACAAATACTCTTCCCACGGCCTGCAAGCTAGCTCTCTTTGGGAATTTCCTGGCCATACTACAATATTCATCCACTCTGTTTGGCTGTGGACTTGTCAGTGGGGCAGGGAATTATTGTTTTTAAAGTGCTCAGTGGAAGATACAAGTGAAAAAAGAGACTCTCCTTTGGCACCAATTGCAGGTCTTAAACTATTTGTGTTCTTTTTGTACATAAGCCCAGTAACTGCTCTATATATTCACAAAAAATTAGCGAGCAAATGATGCCACATGTTTAATATAATGAGCTTGGAAAGATTTCATCAATCAGGATTTCAATTTCTTTTCAAGCACACAGAATTTTCATCATTTTTTTTTTTCTTTCAAAAATATTTTTGTAGGGAACCAGCAGTTGGCGTAATGGATATGTCGCTGGACTCCCACGTAGTCAACCGCGGTTCGCGTCCCGGACCCGGTGGCTTAAAACTCACGCCGGGCGCGTGTGCGTGTGTGCCCAAGATCCCGAGAGGAGAATGGAGGAGAAGGGATTGCGGCATGACCAGCCCCCCTGGGGGGTGATTTCTCGCTTTCTGTCTCTATGTCTCTGTCTGTCTGGCGAGCACATGCGCCCTATAGCGAAAATCTCTCCAAAAAAAAAAAAAAGAGATTTCCGCTATAGTGTGCATGTGCTCACCAGAAAGAGAGAAAGTAAGAAATCACCCCTAGGGGGATGGCCACACCACAACCCGTTCTCCTCCATTCTCCTCTTGGGGTTTTGGGCATGGATGTACAAGTGCCCCACATGAGTTTCAAACTGCTAAATCCAGGACTCCAACCACGGTAAGCCATGTGTGAGTCCAGTGCCTTAACCACCGTGCTGCTGCTGGCCCCCATCATTGGTGGTTTTAAAAGTCAGGATCTGGGGACCAGCAGTTAGTGTAATGGCTATGTTGCTGGACTCCCACGTAGTCGACTGCCGTTCGAGCCCTGGACCCGGTGGCTTAAACTCACGCCAGGCGCGTGTGCGTGCATGCCCAAGATCCCGAGAGGAGAATGGAGGAGAAGGGATTGTGGCGTGGCCATCCCCCCTGGGGGGTGATTTCCTGCTTTCTGTCTCTCTGTTTCTCTCTGTCTGGCTGGCAAGCGCATGTGCCCTATAGCAAAAAACCTCTCCAAAAAAAAAAAAGTCAGTATATGCACAATAATGTTCTAAAGTGGTGGGTCATGGGACCAGCGGTTGGGGTAATGGCTATGTCGCTGGACTCCCATGTAGTCGACTATGGTTCAAGTCCCAGACCCGGTGGCTTAAATTCATGCCAGACGCATGTGCGTGCCTGCCCAAGATCCCAAGAGGAGAATGGAGGAGAAGGGATTGTGGCGTGGCCATCCCCCCTGGGGGGTGATTTCTCGCTTTCTGTCTCCCTGTCTCTCTGGAGAGTGCATGCGCCCTATAGCAAAAACCTCTCTGATAAATAAATAAATATTAAAGAATACTGGGTCAAGGGACCAGCAGTTGACGTAATGACTATGTCGCTGGACTCCCACATGGGCAACCATGGTTCACGTCCGGGACCTAGTGGCTTAAAACTCACGCTGGGCACGTGTGCGTGCGTGCCCAAGATCCCGAGAGGAGAATGGAGGAGAAGGTATTGCAGCGTGGCCATCCCCCCTGGGGGGTGATTTCTCGCTTTCTGTCTCCCTGTCTCTCTGGAGAGTGCATGCGCCCTATAGCAAAAACCTCTCCAAAAAAAAAAAATTAGAGGGTCAATTTTAAAAATAAGTGATGTAATTAATTTAGTGATTCTCCCCTTTATTAGAAGTGAAGTAACTCTTCAGATGGCTGATTTTCCCATTTTTAAATTGGAAAGTATGATTTTGTGGCCACAGTTTTATTTATTCAACAACTTTTTTTTTTTTTTTTTTTTTTTGTTTTGCTATAGGTCACATGCGCTTGCCAGAAAGACAGACAGAGAGAAAGCGAGAAATCACCCCCAAGGTGGGACGGCCACGCCGCAATCCCTTCTCCTCCATTCTCTCGGGATCTTGGGCACGCACGCACACGCGCCCGGCATGAGTTTAAGCCACCAGGTCCGGAACTCGAACCACGGTCGACTACGTGGGAGTCCAGTGACATAGTCATTGTGCCAATGCTGGTCCCCTACTTAACTTTAATTTGAGAGCGAGAGCAAGAGCGAGAGCGAGAGAGAGAGAGAGAAGGAAAGTGAGAAAGCCAGTTCTGGGACTCAAACTGCAGTCCACTGTGTGGGAGTCTAGTGCTCTTAACCACCACCCCACTGTCTGTCCTCAAATTTAGTGTATAATTGAGCCCCACTGGTTAGAATGATCCTGTTTCATCCTCTAAAATACCAGTATCTTACTTTTCCTTTGTAGCTCTTACACAAATGTTATTAAATATTGTTTAATATAGGTCTCACTCAGCAGAGTTCAAGCCCCACGGGGGCAATATTACCACTGCTTTAGACTTCTACCCACTGCATCTAGGAAAATGACCCGTATAGGTGCTCCACGCATGTTTGTTTACTGAATGAAACGAATGATGAAATGAAAAGCCAGCTACAGTATGAGTAAGACAGGGACCAAAGACTCATGTGGCCAGTACCAGTCACAGACACGGAGTGTTTCTGCGGGAGGGAGCCAGGTCCTTTCCTGAAGAGCCTCAGACCCTGGGACGCGCAATTGGGGGCCTCCCCAATTGGGGTGCGGCCTCTGGGTTCCTGCTCCTTCAGCTCCCAAGGCCAGAAGACTATTCCAGGGGAAGAGAGGTGTCTCCTGTGGACCATACCCGGTGCACAGACCCGGCAGGGGCAGGACGGCCCCCGCGGAGCTAAGCTGGGGTGCTGGGCTCAGTGTTTTGGGGCGCGAGTCCTCTGGAAAGTTTCCCAGCCAGAGCAGTGTCAGGGCGCGCTCTAGAGGACAAAAGGAGGAAGAGACGGGTGGGACCCTGCGCTGGCCGCTTAGCGACCGCACACTGTCCTGACTCTGAGGCGGCCCCCTCCCTCCCTGTGGGGCTGTGTCAGGGTGCCCAGTGTCAGAGAACTGTCCTGTACGAGGTTTCTTCACGCTTTTAAAAAAAGATTTTTACCACAGAGTGCATGTGCTCATTGGAGACAGAAAGTGAGAAACAGAAAGCAAAAAATCCCTCCCCCCCAACACACACACACATGGCCATGCCACAATCCCTTTGTCTGCTACCCCTGCTGCCTTGTCTTTTTTCAGGTTTTTGTCATAGGGCATGAGCTTGCCAGAGAGAGAGAGAGACAGAGATACAGTGAGAGGAAAGTGAGAAATCTGCCCCCAGGGGGGTGGCTATGGCCACGCTGCAATCCCTTCTCCATTCTCCTCTTGGGATTTTGGGCACACATGTATGCGCCTGGTGTGATTTTATTTATTTATTTTTTCAGAGGTTTTTGCCACAGGGCATGTGAGCTTGTTGGGGAGGAAGAGACAGAGACAGTGAGGAGTGAGAAATCACCCTCTGGGCATATGGCCCTGCTGCTATCCCCTCTATTATCCTCCTGGGATCTTAGGCACTCACGCACTTACTCAGCATGCATTTCAAGCAACCAGGTCCGGGACTTGAACCGTGGTCAGCCATGTTGCAGTCTAGTCACGTAACCACTATGCCACCTGCTGCCCCTCCTTGTCTTTTTCTTTTAAAAGAATTATTTTATTTAACTTTATTTATTTCATTTTATCAGAGAAAGGGAGAGAGAGAGAAAGCAAGCCTCCAGGTCTGGGACTCGAACCATAACTGGTCATGTGGAAGTCCAGCGCCCTTAACTGCCATGCCACCTGCCCCCCCCCTTTTGCCTCAAGGTGAATGCACTTGCTGGAGAGAGATATGGATAGAGACAATGAGAGAGAAAGTGAGAAGTCACCCCCAGGGGCCCTCCTTGTCTAAGATGCCAAATCCTTCTGCCCACCTGGTTCCAGAAAGGATTGCCATCCTTCAAATGAACACCCATCCCAGAAATTGCCAGGCCAGCCCTTATGTATCTCCTTTTCTGGGCAGTGGGACCCTTATCACCCCGCTCAGCTCCATACTGAATGTTTGCCACTGAGAAGCGCCACCACTTCCCCTGGACAAACAACTCTTCGGGGCCCAGCATGGTGCTGAAGTCCTGAACGGCCTGCTCCAGCTTTCAGGACAGAGCAATTTCTCCGCTTACTCCCTGTGTCCAGCAGAGCCCAGTGAACACAGACCTTAACGCCCCCACACCCCCAAAACACATTCTGAAGAAATGAATTCATTTATTTATTCACCTTTCCATGTGTAAGATCTTTTGATGGAGTGTCACAGAAGCCCTCAAGGAATGAGAGCTGGGGCGTTCATTTTATTCTAAAATAAAGTCTAGGGTTTATTTTAGAGTTAAGTAAAGGGGAGCTATTGAAGATTTCAAGGAAGACATACTGGCCTTAACCTGTGCAAAATCTTAGGTCAGAAGCAGCAGATGGGAAGTCAGTCTGGAGGTGAGGCAGAAGGTCTGCTTTTGGGGTGGTGGGAGTAGTCAAGACTTAATGTGGTGTGGATGTGGGTTCTGAGCCAGGGAAGGCAGTGGCACATTTTCAGTGGAGACTGGGTTGGAGGAAAGACAGAGCTCACACCTGTGTGAGGAAAGCGCCGCTCAGCCCCGCTCGGCCCCACTCAGCCCTCAGTCATCCTGGAGCAAGTGACGAAGCGGATGACCATCTCCCCTACCTCCTGTGGAGGGGCCTCTCCCATCCTCTGAAGTTTTTAGTTCTGAGCCCTGGCTCCAGCCAGGGAAAGAAAAAGAAGAAGAAGAAAAAAAGGTGGAGCTGAAAACCAAAGCAAAATCAATGAGGTTGGGGAGCTAGAAGGCCCCCTTCAAGTAGCTCAGGCCTGGCAGCTTGTGCTGGGCTTCTGGAAGGTTCTTTTTTACAGAGGCTAAATGCCTTGGAAATAAGCCCCAGCACGAGTAGGGCTTGTGGGTCTGCAGGGCTGGGCCACTGGTGTTAATCCACTGCCCCCAGTCCAACTGCATGCAGGACGAGGGCGTGCTGGGTTTTTCAGCTCACGACAGGGATGCAGGCCCAAACCGGAGCAGAGAAACCAGTTTTGCCCGGGTGAGGGTACGAGTCTGGCACAGGTGCAGGCAGTCTCCCGCAGACCCAAGACTGCACCCTGGCACCACCTCATTCCTCCCAAGGACTCATATCAGTGTCAATAGCCACGCAGTTGTACGCAGCGTAGCGGAGCTTCTCTTCACACACCTTGGCGCTGCAGGGAGAGGAGGGGCAGAGAGACTTGGTCAAGCCCATATGCCACTAGGAGGTAGGGAGTGTGATTTGCTTCCAGTCTTTGCATTTCAGAGACTGTCACTCATGCCCCTCAAGCTCGAGACTAGGAAAAAACCCACCTGGCATAGTGCGGTAGGAAGAGGGTGCTGGAACAGGTGGAAGATTCAGGCAGCGCGTCTGTGGTCTCATAGCTGGTGGCATCGGGGGCCAAAGATCAGGAAGAGATGGAGGGACACATGTTGGGGCACGGAGAACTGGCTGGCCACACAGGCACCTGCCCACCGCCCCTCACCACTCACCCCAGTTTGTCAGGGTAGATGTAGATCCGGGCTGGTAGGCGGCTGCGGCCAGTGACGAAGCGCAGGAAGCGGCTCCGGTCCTCTGGAGGAGAAGGAAATGAGCAGGATGGCTCTGAGGGCGGGGAGCTCCACCATGTCCACCCTGCTTCTGCATTCCACAGGCGTCATCACTCTGCCCTCTTCCACTGACCGTTGGTGAAGTTGTTCAGCGCCTCCCAGAAATATTGCACCCGCGTGTCAGATGGCTCGAAGTCCTCAAACCGGGCTGGTGGGAATAAGGTGAGGCTTCATTCTTAGGTCTTGCCCTGCCCAGTCTGGAGGCCCCTCCCAATGTGGTGCTGCCCTGCCCTGCCCTTCCCCACCATCCGGAACTCACTGAGCTTGCGCAGAGCATCCACTGTGACTTCTGGGTCTCCGCACACCTTCTTCTCCAACTCTTGCCAGGTCAGCAAGTCCAGCACAGCCTGAGGCACCACCTTCAGCAGACCCGCCTGCATGGCTGCCACCTGGGGAAGGCAGAGAAGACCTGGCTGGGGAAGAGGACACAACTCCCACCTTGTATTGGAAGCAGACGAGTGGGGGAGGGCCAGAGCTTTTGGGATTGGGTACTGGCAGCTAGCAGGCTGGGCTCTGGCTGCTAGGAGCTGGGGCTTAGGAGGGTCCAAAGCTCTCTGTTCTGCTGGCCTCTAGGTAGTACCTGCTCCTTGCTCTCCTCTAGCCGTGCCTTCTGCACCAGCTGGATGAAACGAGAACGGTCCTCATAGCCTACCACGATGCCTGCACCGCCAGGGATCAGCTCCACCACCTGCTGGTCGCTCAGTACAGTGGTGAATGTTAGCTCCTTCCCAAACTTGAACTCAAATGTTTCCCTGTCCATTCCTTCCATCACTTCCAGAAGCTTCACCTGGGGGGTGGAGAGAGGCAGGAGGTCAGCTTTTTTTTTTTGGAGAGATTTTCACTATAGGGCGCGTGCGCTCGCCAGACAGAGAGAGACATAGAGACAGAAAGCGAGAAATCACCCCCCAGGGGGGATGGTCACGCCGCAATCCCTTCTCCCCCATTCTCCTCTCGGGATCTTTGGGACGCACGCACACGCGCCCGGCGTGAGTTTTAAGCCACCGGGTCCAGGACGCGAACCGCGGTTGACTACGTGGGAGTCCAGCGACATAGCCATTACGCTAACTGCTGGTTCCCAGGAGGTCAGCTTTTGATTGTGGAGATAGTCCCTGCCTTTCCTCAAGATGCTCACAGGGAAGGAGAAGAGACGGCCAGGCAAGGCAGTCCCCACATGGGCAATGGGGTGTGAGGGTCAGTACAAGGGCAGTGAAAGCATCCTAACACCTAGCCGGCCCTGGAGGCCAGGGCTTGGAGGCCATTGCTATAGGAAAGGCATTTAAGCTGAGACTCTAATGATGGCTGGGAGTTGGCTGGGACGTAAGCGAACTCGGGGGAGAGGACATCTTGAAGAAAGCTGGAAAGAGCAAAAGGCCTGAAGGATCTGTTCAGCCCGAGCTTAAGGCGAACTGAAGGACTAGAGACGCAGGGGTCAGGAAGGCCTTACAGGCTACATTCTACAATAAGCCCTTGGCGAAGCCATCAAAGGATTTCAATGAGGAGAGTGCAATTCTGTTTACATGGAGATCAGATAAGAATAGAGAAAGGGACACCAGCTTTTATTTATCTATTTTTTTTGGCTAGAGGGCACATGTGTTTGCCAAAAAGAGAGAAAAGGGAGAAAGAAGAAAGCACCCTCCATGGAGAACGGTCATGCTACAATTATTTCTCCTCCATTTCTCCTTCCCTTTGGGATTTTGGGTGTGCATATGCACCTGGCATGTTTCTCAAGTCATCAGGTCTAGGGCTTGAACGTGGTTGATCATGTGGGATCTGGCTGCCGTGACAGACTAGGGGCCAGCCCAGGGATGTTGGCTTTTGCAGTAAGCGATTAGGTTAGAGAGAGGGGTAGCCTGAACCAGGGAATAAAGAGATGGGAAGTGGAGAGTCCCCAAGCAGTCTTGACAGAATGTGCGAGTGAGAGAGAAGGAGGAGTAAAGGGTGACTCCCAGGCGAGGGTTCTGGCGTGGGGAGGGGTAGGTGGTAGTGTCATTCTGAGACAGGGAGCCCTAGAGGGCAGTAGACTCAGAGACGTCCAGGAAGAAGATGCATATATTGCCCTAGGCTTGGGAGTGAAGCTGGGGCCGGAAGTCACAACTTTCTAAAAAAACTTTTTGCTATAGGATATGTGTGCTTGCCAGAGAGAGACAAGGAGAGAGGGCAAGTGGGGAAGCACCCTCCACCCACAACCTCTTCTCCTCCACTTCTCCTTCTGCGATATTTTTGGGCATGCACACACATGTGCCTGGTGTGTTATTCAAGCCACTTGGTCTTGGACTTGAACTGTGCAGCTGGCCATGTGGAACCCAAGTGTCTTAATCACCATGCCACCAGCTGGCCCAGGGGTCACCTGAGTACAGATAGTAGTTGAAGCCATGAGTTAGATGGGATTGGAGAGCTAACGTGTATATGGTAAAAGAAAAAGGTGCAGGACAGCTTTGGGGAGCACCAACCTGCGGGGGCTGGGCAGAGGAACCGCTGCTCCAGGTCCTACTCACCAGCACAGAGTCCACAGCTGGGAAATCCTTGTTCCAGCTCACCTCCTCACCAGACAGCTGCTTCCACACGAAACCAGGCAGAGCCAGGACCTGTGTGACAAACACTCATGATGGCCTTCCCACCCTGAGCTGCCCAGGTGTGGGTGGCCCTTCCTTCCAGGGATCAGGGTTGATCTGAAGAAGGGGTGGATTAGGCTACTCACCAGGAACTCCTTACCCCGGAGGGCAGCCCCCATTAGCTGTCCGATCCACTCATACTTGGCAAAGTCTCGGCAGGAGGGATTGGGCACATACATATCCCGGGCCTCGCCAGTGCCATTGCCCTGTCCCAGAGACAGAGCTGTCAGCGCAGCATGGGATGGACCTTACCTTCCTCCTTAAAGGTGTCCCTGGACATCTACTGGGGCTGAATGACCTCTCCAAATACACAATGGCTCCTTGTCTCCCTGTCTGCCCCAGGCACCTCAGTCCCTCCTCTGCCCCCTCTCTAGTTCAGCCTGGCACCTGGGGGTTCTGCAGAGACAGACTAGCAGAAGCAACTTGGGAGATGGAGATGGGGGATTACCTGGTTGGCTGTGCGCACAAAGAAGGGCAGAGGCACAGGAGTGTCGGCTGAGCTAGGGCACAGTTCTTCTGACATATCTGCCAGGCTGTCCCGGAAACCGCCCCCTGAAATGGCAGATTTCCTCAGCTGGGCATTCGAGAGCCCAGCCCCCCAATAACAGGGTAGTAAACAGGTTCCTATCTTTGGTGGCTGGTGACTGCAGAAGTCTCTATTACTCTAGCAGGGCAATAAGCAGGACCCCTCCATCCTCCCCAGGGCCTTACCTTGGTCAATGATGCCTTCTGCAATGAATTTGCACTCCCACCACTGGTCGTAACGCATGGGCCACCTGTAAGCGGGGGTAGATCTGTCAGGTGACACCAGGGCTCAGGATGATTCACCAGCCCAGATAGCAGCCAGGACATGGGCTACAGAGCAGGAGTGGTGGGGATGCCTGGAGCAGCATGTGGGTGTATGTGTGCACATGTGTGCCCTGAGCGAATCCCTCACTCTCACGCCATACCTGTAGTCCAGGGGCTTCTCATACTTGTCAGAGGGCTTGAGGCCTTCATAAACCTGGTAGGGGAGGAGTTATAGAGTTGTAGAGAAGTCTGTCAAAACTTGGCCCCACTCTTTTCCAAAGGGACCTTGCCCAGGTCCCTCTTGGTCCAGCGCCCTAAGCCCTTTATCGACCCTCCCTCAGTGCTGCCCACAATGGTGAAGACCTGGGTGAAGACTGCGTTCTTGCAGGCAGGGTCCCGAGACGGACAGGCACGGTGCTCCATGGCAAGGCGCCGGTTGATGTACAGGCGTGGCATAAAGCTAGGCTTGCTGCTCTCTGAGTCACGCAGGCACTGGGACACCAGGCCTGGCCGCTGGCGCGACAGGAGTAGGAACTGCTTCACTTGCTGGTAAGGAAAGGTGGCCATGGCAGGACCAGCAGGCAGTCAGCCTCTGTCCAGGCCCTTCCTCTATGCTTCCACTCAATCCCTCCATTCCTGTCTAAGTTAGTCCGCCCCATGGCCTTGCCTCTAGTTCCTTCCTGAGTCCAGCCACCAGGGAAGTGTTCTAAAACAATCTAACATAGTCACTGCCTTACTTACGAGCTCCCGATGGCTCCAGTGACCAGCAACTTTGCAGCCTGGCCCACCGCGCCCTCTGCTATCGAGTCTGTTTCCTGCCCACCTCCTTCCAGCCTTATCCTGGTGTCTTATCACAGCTACCTGCTCATTTTCTTCAGGTCACCTTGAGCTGCTGGTAACTCCTGGTACGCACCTTTCATGCAAACTGCCCTGACTGTACTGTCACCTCTTCTCCCCCAGTCTTTGTGTACTCCATGCTCACCTGGGGACAGCCCCATGAACACTACTTTTTTTTTTTATTATTAGGTTTTTGCCATAGGGAGCATGTGCTTGCCAGAGAGAGACAGAGAGGCAAAGTGAGAAATCACCCCCTGGGGGCGGGGAATGGCCACATTGCAATCCCTTTTCTTTTCTTCTCTTGAGATTCTGCGCATGCACACACATGTCCCAATGTGAGTTTTAAGCTGCTGGTTTTGGAACTTGAACTCTGGTTGGCCATGTGGGAGGTTAGCACCTTAACCACCATGCCACCTGCTGATCCCTAAACACTAAATTTTGACAACTTGTATCTGACTTTCTCCTGTGTTCCCAAAGCCCAATCAAAGTCCAGCCCTAGAGGAGGTTTTAGGAATCCTCTGCTAAAGAACAACTACATGAGTGAGAGGGGGAAGCTCTCTGCCAAGGCCAACACTGGGTGGACTGGGCTCACCTTAATCTCATTGAAGGTGCCCAGTGTGTGGTCCCAGGCAGGTACCAGGTGGTGCAAGACACTGTCTAGGATCTTGATGAATCTGAGGTGGGTAGGGAAACACAACTGCAGCTAAGGGGTCTGGTGTGGATGTCAGATGGTCAACTCCCCAACATGCAGGGCAGAAGGTAGGGTCTAGGGGCTGCTCTGACCCATAAAGCAGAACACATTATGACCTTGGGGATCTCCTCCACACAGACAGAAAGGCTCAGGCTAGGGGCAAAGGAGAAGCCTGCAGGTCCATGACCACAGCACCTCTGCAGGAGGACAGCTCTCCGGTATAGGACTTCTGGGTCAGTGCCCTCCAGGCGTGGGTATCGCACCAGGCTGGTTGGCTGGAACAGGTCTGCATTCAGCCCTAGCTCCCGCTGCCTGGATGACTTGATCTTGACCCCTCGAATGCGAACATCAATCCCGTCATCTAGGAGAAGGAGTGAGAGAGCAGAGTCATTTGCTGCACCTCTGCCTCCTTGGCCCTCACCTCTGGAATAGCTCAATGGTTGGCCTTTTCTCACCCTAGAGAGCTGGGGCCTTTGGGGGCCCCTTCTCTCACTTGATTCTGATTCCTACATTATTTTCTGGCTCTTTCATTCACCCTACAGGGTTGGAATGCCTGAAAGTCCCACCTCAGTTCCTCTTCCAGGTGAGCCCGACCACCTCTGTGGCTTTATGGCACTTCCCACTTGGCTCAGGCCCCAAAGCTTCCAATCTCATGTTAATTCAATACCTTCTCTCCACACTCACTGTCAGTTTGCCCCTATCTACACGTGGGGGCTCCCTTTCCCTCCTTACAGCCTTAAGCCCCACCTCGGCACTCAACGATGCGGATCTCGATGATTGGGAGGTGGACGGTCATGTCCTCCAGGACACAGACATCCCCGATCAGGGTCCTGAGGAGATGGGTGTGAGGCACAGACCTTCAAGGACTGCTGGTGTGCCACCCAAACTTTGGCTTCCCAGCTGGGCCACGCTTCATTGCTACAATCATGCTCCACTGCCCACCCAGGGCCAGCTGGCTTACTCGTCAATGCTCACGTCACTGAGCTTCTTCAGATTGTCCCCTTCTCCCCCATAGACCACCACCCGCTTAGGCATGAAGTTGTCATCCGTGGTATCCACTGTGAGTAGCAGCTTCCTGAGGGGTCAGAGTGTGCACATGGGTTTCTGGGCACCTGGAGGCATAGTGGCTCACACACATGGCGCTGCCTAGGGCCTACTCACTTGACAATGGTGCCCTTCTTCATAGTAAGCCGTACCCAGTGCTGGCACTGGGACCCATCACTCTCCCAGTAGGTGTCTGCATTGCTGTCTGTCAAGCAGGACACATTGAACTCCTCCTGGAGAGGGGTGGAGAGGGGAGTCAGTGGTTACCCTCTCTTCTACAGTGGCCATGTGCTCTGGGCCAGGGAGCATCGGAGAGAAAGCAGAATGCATTTGTGCTAAAAGGGCAACTACCATGGGGATGGGATGAGGGTGCCTAGGGGTTCCTATAGGACTTCCAAGATGGGGAGCTAGAATGAGTGTGGCCCACGCAGATTTTGGTTTGGCTCTGGCTTACAGGGGGAGTTTCTGGATCAAGCCTTGAGGGGCATGATTACATCTTGCCTGAAGCAAGAGGAGACCAAGCACTCACCGTGAAGGAGGAAACGTCTATGCTCTCCACATACTGCTTCACGCTACCCAGGTTCTCATCCTCCTTGCCCAGATGGTCATACAGGAAGTGGATCAGGTCCTCGTCGCACTCGTAGGTCCATGTCGGGGGCACATAGCTAAGTAACCCCAAGCCCCTAGTTAGGTTGGGCCAGACCCGGATCTTCTCCCCTCCTCCCCCCGTCTCAGTCAGCTTACTCACAGTAGCCTTTGTACAGCTTCCGTGTAAGCTTCTGCCGGCTGAGGCCTCGATCCGAGGCGATACGAGTATGTCAGGTCTACTACCTGTTCCCATCTGTAGGCACAGAGTCGGGGTGGGATGGGGAAGCATCAGCGGCAGCGGACTCCGCTTCGGAGTCCCGGAGCCTTCTTCAGGACTCATCTAGACGCCTCCAGAAGTCCCACCCCAGCCGCCTTCAGGTCCCGCCCCTTCCTGTGCTCCAATATCTCACCCCCACCAGGCGGTACCAGTAGTATTTCCAACCCCTCTGGGCCTGGCCGCCTGACCACAAGCCACGCCCCTTCAGGCGCAGGACCTGAGCACCGGGCGATAGTCCACGCCGAAGAGCTGCTGCTGCCGCTGGAGGGGGGCCGGGGTGTCTATGGGTACGAGGCGGGCCCCGCCCTCCGCTGGGCGGCACACCAGCAGCCAGCCTTCATCCAGTCCGCAGTCGCCCAGGTGCTCTGCCAGCTGCTCCTGCGGGGACGCGTCAGATGGGGACAAATGTCAGGAACTGCCCAGCTGTCTGCCCTGTCTTGCTGAGGGCAAAGGGCACCAAACGCAATGTCAGCTCAGTATGGGGAAGGGCAGGGGAGCAGCCAGGGGCTTCCCTGGCCCCGGAGGTCTTTTGAGGGCCCCGGGCAGGCCAGAGCGCACCTTGGTCAGCTTCACCCAGAGGCCGTGGCCGTTGCACAGCTCTTCGCCCGTGGTGCGCACGCAGGCGCCGCGCCGGAGCTCGATGCTGTCGCGGGCCGCGCGGAGGGGTCCGGAGCCGGTACCCGGCGCCGGCGCCGCGGC